TTTTTCTTTGTAAATCTTTTTAGCAACTCTTTGCAAATTTTTCTGGATGCTTTTCTGAGTTTTGTCCAAAACGTCTTGATTGAGCTCTACAATTGTTACATTGTGACCAGTTTGAGCAGATACTTGAGCAATACCAGAACCCATTAATCCACCTCCGACAACAGTGACATTTTTAATTGCTGCCCGAACAACAGAGGTCGAGAAATTTCGAGAAATTACATTTAAACACGACATTTTTATGATGTTGTGTTTACTTCGTTAACAATTCACAAGGATATAATTTAGGTTAAAATTGAACACGTAGCTAGAAATGTATTTTAATAAAATTAACTTTAACACAAGGTTTAAAGACTTCAATGATACTAAAAAATTTCCAATCATTGAAGGCATTTTATAGTTTTGTACTTATCAGTAATCTCATAAGACTTGTCAATACCATTTTATATTTCAAGGTTGTTTTTCTTATACTTCAATAATTACCACTTAAAATAGCATAAAAATTAAGAATTTATTCATTATATTAATTTTTATAGACGATTAATTTTTGTTTAATTTATCAGGTAATAATAATTTAATAATAAATTGTAAATATAGCTTAAAATATACAGCTATATTTGTTTTTATAATCCATAATTATTTATCACACATGGAAACATTTTTATCAGTGAATACCGGTTTTGAATAGGTAAACATTTTTATCACATATAACTATTTTCAACCAATATTTTCTTTTCTTAGTTTTTTTAAACAACTTTTAAGTCATTAAATGATTTAATTTTTTAAATTTTAACTAATTAAAAATCCTATTATTTTTAAAATAATATTTTATGCAGTCTAGCTTAATGTAACACCAAGGCACTCTTCTGGTGAAATCGCCATTGGCATATTAGTATTTTAACTAGTGATGGCAGGTTCATATGTGCTATTAGGTGTTGGCTAAGATGGTTTAATCCCCAAATATTTGTCTAGTCCTTCCAAATATATATCTATCCATCACATAATAGGTACAGATATAAATTAAAAAGTAAGTCATTTACCAGCAAGATAAAAAAAAAAAATTGCCATTCAAAAATATAACCCTAATTACACCTATGGGCAGGTTCAAAAATCAGTGTCGTATACATAACTTTTTTATGAAGGGAGGAATCAATTGCAAACAAATTATTATGGAAGGAAAATTTCTGAACCTAAGTACCTGCATATTTAAATAATAAACAGGGGCGTCATTTCAACTTTTGAAAGGGTGGGACAACTGATTAAATTTGCTGACTTCATAATATTTAAAAAATTATGGTTACCTATATTTAAATATTTAATATTTATGGACGATAGACTATCAATAAAATATTTTTTTGGGAAAAAAACATGTAAGGATTAGTACTGATGTCATGATCATAAACAAAGAACATGAAACGTTCCAATTTACCCAATTTAATAATAACATTAAAGATAGTAATTTATTTATTTACTTATCCTATAGACGATAATTTACCTATTAATCGGTGGCGGTGGCGGCGGCGCCGTGCCGGGCCGGACGCAATATTAAATGGAAACTATTAATATTATAATCAGTAGCGTAGATACAATTCTTTTCTGGGGGTGGGGGGGTGTTTAAGAGTAAGTTTTTAAGTGTTCGTAGTATATCTTAAAACGAGATCATATATAATAATATTACATTTAAAATAGTGTTATTATGTCCCGTATTAATGAAAATTATTTTGTTATTCAATTTTTAATATATACCTAATTATAGTAAAATCAAAATATTTTACTATAATATATAAATATTAATAAATAATAATCAAATATCATTAAAAAAAAATCTGTGGTGGGGGGGGTGGAAACCCCTTACACCCTCCCCGTAACTACGCCACTGATTATAATAGCTCGTAAGTTACGTTGCAGCGACGCGCAGCCATTCTCGCGTTCGCACAATTTCTGTACAAAAAAATAATATTCAATATTGTTGTTATATATATATATCTAAAATAAATAAATATAAATTAATTAATTAAAATTAAAAATTAAATTATACGATTAAAATTTTAAATTTAAAAATAGTACAAAATACCAATATAAATAACCAAATATTTTTTATTTTCGTAAAAATTACAAGTGAGGCGGTGCCTCACTTGCCTCACCCCCAAAACCACCACTGCTATTAATAGTCTTAATAGAATAATAATATAAATCTAATTGAATAGATACTTATAATTTTATTATTTTTATATTTGATACTTTACAGAACTTATTTTTAAAAACAAAAATTGTATCTCAAATATAATCTACCGTAGTTTGGGGTGAATAGAAACGATTTTTTAACAGTTTTTTATAGATTATGAACTCAATTTTTATGGTATCGATATCACGAAAACTGTTTTATAAAGATCACATACTCTTGTATAGAAATATATAATTTACCAAAAATAGAATTTATAAGGTTCGCGTAATAACGATTGTCATAAACTGGGAAGGAGCCAGTATTTCCCAACTTTTAATAAACCGTTAACGTGTATTTAAAAGAGAATAATATCTGATTTCTAAGTACAAAATAGTAAATAAAAATTTACTATTTACCGATATTAGCATTTGATCATCAGACAAAGAATTGCCGACTTTTTAAAACTTCTTAGAGTGGGGCATTTGCCATAGTCTGCTCCTCCCCCAAACGACACCCCTGCTAATAAATAATAAAAGATATGCCTATATATATTGAATGTGTCAAAATAATAATTTACAATAAACCATTGCAATATTTTTTTGTTTCCTTATAATTTCGTTAGATTAAGAACACTATTATATAAAAATTTAAAAAGGTCTATGGAGAGGGGATCTGACCCCCACATCCCACATTGTATACGACCCTGTCCAAAATAGCCATTATCTTGTTAAATGATGTTTTACTCATATGTAAATAAGTGAAGAATTTTTCTGAATAAATATTTTAGTTCTTCAAACATCAAACTTTATTTTCGTGTTAAGTTTTTCAGATATCAGAAGGTGAACCCAATATTTTATTTTTTGTTGATTTTTCTTATATTGAATGACAAGCAGTGCTCGACTTTAGGGGGGACGGAGTACCACAACTAATTTTAAGAAATTTTAGCGTCCCCCTACTATTATTACGCTATAATCATAAACGCTCAGACAGTTTTGGGGACATTCTTTTTTTTAAAGTGAATAGAGTCTTCCTTCTTTAATTTTGCCAAGTCGAGCACTGATGACAAGAGCAAGAAACATTATAGTATTTAATAAATCCATTTTTTGATACTCGTAATGTATATTTGTTGAAATTATTACAAAAACTCCTAAAACTAAATTTTCTTTCAGGCAACAGTTGCTTATGGTGTGCGCGATCTTAGAAACCGAAGCATTTGAAGAACAACAAAGATAAAAAAGTTACGCAACAAAAATGTTGCTGTGTGCCTTATATAGACTTTGTAATCAGCACAAATATATTATATATGAATATTTTAAATATTTGTGGTAATTGATTTATTTATAGTTTATTACAATGCTGTTAGATTAAAATTAAATAACTATTATGTTAAATGTAAATTAAATAATTATCTGTGTTTTAATTTTTTTAGTTGTACAGTAATCGTATTACTAGAGTGACTTGTAAGTCGATAGGTAAAGTAAAATGAAACTCAGTGCAAATTTATTGTAGTTAAAAATATTTTAAAATTTAATAATTAGATAAAACCAAAATTTTCCAAAAAAATGTGTTAAATTTTTTAATTTTTAAACTATCTTCTTTTCGAATTGACCTATTTGATCATACATAAAAAATAAAAATTTATGTATATTAAAAATTCCAGTCCAATATTACAATGTTATATATTTAAAAAATGTATTATAATTTTAAAAATGATAATCACCATTCAATCGGTATATTTCACTAACTGTTCTTTATTATATAGAATCTATATAATAGATGATGCTATTTAATACTTGACTATTGCCATTAATATTATATAGTATATTGTAATATGAATGATTATGTCATAATTTATTCATAAGGTATTGGCAATGCTACTACATCCTTATTTCTACTAGTATCTACTAGTTTCTAAATGTCATTGAAAATTGTTTTTTTATTCAGTATTTTGATTATATTTATTGGTGACTGAGACATAAATTAAGAAACACATAATATTTATAAACTCAAAAAAAATATAAATAGGTATTGATTTGTAGATATATTTTATTAATAACATTTGTAACAATTATTGATACATATTGCAATAAAACAAAATAATTTTAATTAATAAATAAATATAAGTATACTCAAATATAAAAAAAATAATTTTTTAATTATTTTTAATATTGTTAAAGAACACATTTATATATAAAACAAAAAAATAATATATTATTTTTCCCAAATTTCAGTGATAAATTGGTACAAATTTATTTTTTATAGCTATAATACCCTTCACCAGTCTTGATTCCCAATTTTTTTTCATTGACTAACTTTTGCAAAGATGGTAATGGTTTGAACAATGGATTCTCTGGAAATTTTTCATGCCATCCGTTTATAACTGAATTAGTCGTATCAAGTCCAACATAATCTGATAATTCAATTGGTCCCAATGGATGTCCAGCACCTAACTTCATGGCTATGTCAATATCCCTCGGAGAAGCATCACCTCTCTCTAACATTCTAATTGCTTCAGTTAATAGTGGAACAAGAAGTCTATTGACTACAAATCCAGGAGTATCCTTGCAAGTAATGATAGTTTTACCAATTGCTTTTCCCCAAGCCATCAATTTTTCGTATGTTTCATTTGATGTTTCTGGAGTTTTAACTACTTCCAATAATTTCATTATTGGCACAGGATTAAAGAAATGTAGCCCAGCAAATCTATCTTTTCTTTTGGTTACAAACGCAATTTCACTTATAGATAATGAAGATGTATTAGAGGCAAAGATGGTTTTTTCTGGGGCAATATCATCTATAGACTTAAAAAGTTTATGCTTGACAGATAAATTCTCAACAACAGCTTCTAACACCAAATCAGAATTTTGCACTACATCAGCCAAGTTTGTGGAAGTACTAATTCTTGATAAAGTCTCAGATATAAAATTCTCACCTTCTTGAGGTTTTT